TGCACTTGGGACGTATGCAGTTTCTTCAAATACAAGGTTTTCTTATATGTTTCCTTGTTGTGTTCGAACATTTCCATTTCACCCAAATTTATGATACCATTGTGATGCAGGATCCGATCCGAAGTTTTCACTGGTCGTGAGAAGTACAAGAGACTGCTCTGGATAACCGTGCTCTAGAAATCCCACCGTGGTAAGCTTTTGAAGTTGCCTTTTTTCCCCTCTTATGCTTGTGAGCTGCTGTATCATGTTATCCTAATGTACCATCCATCGGTTTTCATGTTGATTATACCGATTTTTTGTTGGTGGTATTGCTGCAGAGAGTGCAAGAAATGGTGATGTTGTCGACAAGTTTACTCAGTATCAAATGGACGTACAGGGAAAACCAAGTCTTTCCTCGCCGGTATAGGTGGTGATCTGATAATGAGAGTTAATCACAGTTCACTTTGAACCAGATTAGTGGGCAGGTAATTGAGCATGAAGAGGTGTGGGATTTATCATCTTCTTCGGTTGTTGCTCAAGCATTTTTCTGGATGTCCCGTCGTCTCTTTGCCACCGTCGAGGCTGCAAAGGACTTGGCTGATGGAGCCAAGGACTTGTCGTCTCGTTTTTCGACTAAGCAAGAGAACCCAGAGGTTTACCCAGACCCTTCTGGTGATCCAACTAAGGTGAGTTCTTGCAATAAATGCATGCTTGCTTTATATTTGAGCACACAATGAGATGAATGACTTAGTTAAACTCGTTTCACCACCTGTGTAGAAGAGTGTGTGTCAGTTTTTTAACATTTTTGATATATTTGCTCAGCTCATGAATAGTTTTGACCTAGTTTTGTACAAACCCTTCATTTCCCTAAAGTATCTATGTTCGACATTAAACATAATATGAATATAGGTATGTTTCACATCCATTTCAAGGATTCATATTTTCCGTTACATATGAATACAAGGTCCTTCAACATGTTCAGTATTGTCTTCCAGAAGAACGCCTCGACGCTGGAGCACTGTGTGAGTATTGGAGTATATGGTGTGGTACCGCTTACGCTCGGCTCTCCATGCACATGCTCCGTCACCTGAGACGCTCCTCCGAGAGACGAAATCCTTCTAGAAGCAATACCGAACATTTTGTTATGAAAATATTCATTTGTCTCCTACCTTGTCGATTGTTCATTTGATCTGTTATCAGTTCTTTCAAAGGGACGATGGATTCCAAAGAGATGTATACCAGATTGCATTGTTTCTGGCAGTCGTCTATTTTGTTGTACAGTTCCTGAGGATAACCCTTTAGAACGTACTATTTTCCTGCTTCCTTGTTCTACTTATTACTACTACTGCTGTAAATGTGTAATTAGCAGCCTTTTGTATTGTTATACGAGTTTCTCATATATTTTTCAACAGAAAAAGGTATAGAGATACGATTCTCTGAATATATAAAAAATTACATTAAAAGATTATGCATATTTGTATATTTCTTTGTTCTTAGTTTGTTCGTTGGAATTCACGTCTTTGAAAATGTTTATCAAAAGCAACAAATGATGGAATGCTTGGGTAATTTTATTTATGGTGTTCATCAAGGACAAAATTTTGGAATGTACACAACGATATTATTAAATTATGTTTTGATGTTGAATGATTTCTGTACTTCTAATTTTCTTTCGAAATTCTTTATGATTTTTTTAAATGATTTGATAAAATTTTATATTTTTTGGATTTTATTATGGATCACTTCGGTGATCCAATGTGACATCTCAGATTGGATTGAGTCACCCGTATACGTAGAGGGTTTCAAACTAACTCAAAATTGGTTACAATTATCAAAGGAGCAAGGTTGAAGCATAACGTTTGAAAGTACTCATTTGATTGGTACATCTAAGATAAGGACAAGAAAATAAAATATCTCAATGTAGTTGTTAAGGGTCCAACTCAAAAGAAACATATTATCGAGAGTTTTCTTTTTTGTAACAATTCAAGACATATAAGGAAAAACTAAACTCTAAAATAATAAGTAACTACTTTGGTTATTCTGGGCGATCTAGGGACTATAAATTTTATGATATCATAATTAAGAATATTTTTTAAGGTGAGATCTATAACATTATTTTTGAGGATTTGAGTTTGGAGGGAGAAATATGGTTTGAGGCATTGTTTTTTTAGGGGAATTGAATTCAATTCATACTATCACTTTTGATGATAACCATATTTTCATACATATTGTTAATCAAGAAGTTAATTTAGAACCTCAACAAAATAATGTTAAACAAACTCTCTATTTAAGATGAGATAATTGTTCCGGATAATAACTCAACAACTTTAAAGAACAATGTCATTAAGAAGATTTACGGGATGAGAAAAATAATATTTTAGATGATTATGTTGTATTTCTTTAAGAATGATGACAATGGAATGATGAAAGATGATTCAATTAACTTTAATTGTGTCATAAAAGCTCTAACTCTCAAAAGGGATTGATTCCATATAAAAAAAACATAAGTTTAAGAACTGATGTATGATTGGTTTTAAATGAATATTTAAAATAAAGATAAATGCAAATAGTGATGTTGAGAGGTATAATTCTTATCTTGTACTTAAAGGATATACTCAAAAAGAATATATTAATTTTGTAGAAACTTTCTCTCTAGTTTCATTGAAATTTTTTTTTAGAATAATTATGATATTTTTTTTCTCATATATGATCTTAAGTTATATATATATATATATACACACACGCACGATGTAAATTTCATAATATTCCAAATAATAATAATATTTTCACAATTATTGATACATTTCAGTATGAATATGTACCAAACTCGACTCACTCTGAACCTAACCCTTTCTTCGAACAATCTAATTTGACATATTTGAAATCCAAACTTTAAAAATTAGGTAAGATCAAAACCTATCGATTTCAGAATTTTACCCTTAGTTTAATCTTACAATATACCTTTGGTTTTCATTAAATAAATATATCATAATTTATCTGTACCTAGATTTAATCAAATCCTTACATGTAGCCTAGTTTTGGTCAATTTTAAATTTTATTTATTTCTCATTTTAAAGATTATTTTTATCGTATTAAAAAATTATGCTGAACAGCACTTGAAAATTATCGCAGCTTCAAAATAATACAGGAAAAATGCCAAAAATGGCGGTTGTATACTGAGTACTAATCCCCTCAACCACTAATAAAAAATCAACAAAAATAACATTTACAATAATTTGCAGACGAAAACCCTAAAATCCAATTAGAACTCTCCAAATAAGAAAAGGGGAAAATCCAAAGAAGAAACAAACACAACTCACCTTAAAATTCACGTCCCCACTGCACTCATCATTACCCTTTCATTGCTGCTGCCATTGATTCACCTAAAGCTAGTTGAGATTCTATTTTTGTCCTTTTAATACCTTTTCGTTTATTTTGTGCTACAATAAATTTTATAATAAACTGTATTTATGATTTCTTTAATTTAATTTTAAGGTTAATATAGAGAAGTGTTTAAATTATATTTTTTTTATTTATGTGCTTAATTTTTTTGTCAATTTAGATGTATAATGTTAAAATATTATAATTTTAAATGTTTTGATCATAATGGTGTTTATATAATTTAAAATTTTCATTTAAAATAAAAACTTAAAATTATAATTTTTAAAAAAACTCAAAATTTTCTGGAAATAATTAAAAAACTCCAAAGTTTAAAAACACTAATTACAATCTCTATACTAATATTGATCGTCATTGTTGTCATAAACCGAACCTCCACCTAATGAACTCCAACTGACGATTTAAACTCAACTAACAACAATCCCAAAATTATGATATCGGTGCAACCCGACAACTTTGACGGAAAACACGACGGAAATGACAACGACGATTGACAAGGGAGATTAAAAGGAAGGGGGCGACGTCAATTACCGTGGTCGGCAAGGGATATGATAAGTTTAGGTTTAGGGATTTTAAGGAATTGAGTTTATATATATATAATTTTAGAGAAATTAGGGGTATTTTTAAATATAATAATATCTTTAAGTTCCATTAAAAAATATTTTTTTTCAAAAAAATATAATACAATATGTGTCACTTAACGTTTATAATGTTAGACACCTAAACTTACTCTAAAAATTTTAGAGACTTATATAAAAAATAAATATAATTTGAACACATTTTTATATTAAACCTAATTTTAAAACTATAATTCAGGTAAAAGAATCTGCACAATTGAGTTTCTCTAAAAGCAAAATAAATTCAGTCAGTCAATATGTTTTCCTTTTCACTACGGTACAAGTTAATATTCAAAGTCATAAATGAAGATTACGACGGCTGAAAAAATGCAATTTTTTTTTAATTTGATGTATTAAATAAATGGGAAACTACGTGTTTAATATATAAACTATCAGTTTTGGTTCATTTTAATACCTAAACTATCAAATTTTTTAAAACCATACTTAATGTTTAGTTTTTTATTTCATTTTAGTAACCCAATAAAAACTTAACATTAAGTTTTGAATTTCTTTAAAAGTTTAAGTACTAAAACTGATAATTCAAGTACTAAACGCGTTAAGTTTTTAATGACGATGTACAAAAATGAAACAAAAACTAAACATTAGTTATGATTTAAAAAAATTGAAATTAGGATTTAAAACGGAGTAAACTGATAGTTTAGATACTAAACACATAATTTATCCTAAATAAATTTGAAAACTCTACTAAATTAATCCTAAATTTATGTCTAGTTTGGGTCACCTTCTCTCTATTGTCCCAACTGCCAACCTTTACTTTTGCTTTATTTTTCATGCTCACCTATTTCTTGACTTTTATAATTTATTATGTACAAACTTTATTCATAACAAATGAAAAGCTCCTTTTGTTCCCATCATTGAATTCATTTCCCCTTTGCTCTCCTTTTGCTATCAAAATCAATAATTATTTCTATTTCTTTCTCCTTGTATTTCGTAGCTTATAATCATAGCATAAAGGACTCTTTTTTGTTTTTCCAGAGCTTTATAGCATAAAGGTCTGCTGCCATGGATAACATATTCTCTGTCATCTCATTCTGTATGCTTCTGGGTTTTGCATTCATTGAAGCATCTCAAAATGGTTCACTCGTAACTCACCTGCCTGGCTTCAATGGCGTCTTCCCATCCCAACACTATTCCGGGTAACAACTCTTTCCTCTCTTCGGATAATTGCAGTGAAAAACAGTTGAAATGAACGTGAGTTGCAGAGACGGAGTCAGGATCCTAGTTTGAGAGGGCCAAGTAAAATATTTTTAAAGTAAGGGGGTCAATTTATAATTATCCTATAAATATTTAAATATTTATAATAAGTCCCTCCTTGTATCCGTTTAGTTCCGTCTCTGGTGAGTTGGTTGTAGATAGGGATGAACAGAACGGTTGTCTCCAATAAAATTTCAAATTATCATGTAATTTAGATATTTTTTTATATTTTATATTGATAATCTTAAAATTTTAAAAAAAATTAATTTTACATAAAATGTTACGTCGGTCCTCGATGCAGATACGTGAGCATAGGTGAGAAGAATCTCTTCTATTACTTTGTTGTATCGGAAAGAAACCCAGGGAGGGATCCAGTTGTTTTGTGGCTAAATGGTGGACCAGGTTGCTCTAGCTTTGATGGATTTGTTTACGAACATGGTACTCTCCCACCTCTAATTACATTTTTAATATGTTTATCCCCATAAATTCCTTGCATTAATTGTTTATAATTTATAAATTAATATATCAAATGTAACACATTGCCGCAGCGTCAAATATAACAACAATACAATTATAATTATGATCTCTATATATATTATGCTTAAATTTAAGATTTAATTTTTATAATTTCTTTCTTTCTTATAATATCATTAGTTATTTCAAATAATTAACTTATTATTATTGCACAAACTAGATGATTTTAGTGATTAATGAATTGATGTTATTCCTTAAGATCTCAAGTTTGAGCACCACTTCTACGGAGGTGTATAAACATTTATTGTCAGATGGTTGAATCTTTCGAATAAATATTATATTATATTCAGCCTAAATTAATAAAAAATACTATTAATTATTTTTTAAAAATAATCATTATATCTCATCATGTTGCGGTGATATGATTTTTTTAGTTTAAATGTTCTTTTTAAATCCCAAATTATACTTTAAAGGAAATAATCAATGATATTAATTATTTGAGAATATTAAATTATGTCAGAATAAAACATGTAGGCTATATTTCAATTTTTTATATAATAAAGGGATCAAAATAATAGTTTGACCCAAATATAACCCAAACTTTTTTATTAACTTAATGTTACAAGTAATATCAGTTCTAAAAGTTATCAACTATTTGACAATGAGAACTCAAACAATTTTGCAGTCTTTTATGCTCGAATTTAAAACCTTTAAGAATAATAATCATCTCCTTAATCATTGAGATAACTTGATTCGTAACCAAACTTTATCCCGTATCTTAGAAAATATGTATAAATCAACTCTCCATGCATGTACGAATGTAAGGAGACCGTTTGTTACGTATACTTGTTAATTTTTTTTCAGATAAATAATTTTGCAATATTTTTTTAAAATTCAAAATATTTTCTATTTATGAACATGTAGAAATCATTTTTGATATTAGTCTATATAAATTATGCTTTGTCTTTTTCTTGAATAATTTTGTAATAAGGACAGATTTTGATTATGAGATTGTTGAAATGAAGGTGTGGTCATTGTTTCCATTTTTAAATCTAATTATTGCATAATTCACGGGAAGAAATAAAGATATTTGGGAGGAAAAATAGTAACCACAATCTTATAGATAAGCTCATGTGCGTCCTTTGTAGATTACAGTCTTGCCAAAAATTGGTCGCTTTCGCTCTCTGCTGGGAAAAAATTGAGTTGACTTAAGTGGTATACATCTTCGTATTGTTTAAGTAAATATTGAATTCGAGTTTTTGTATATATAGAAAATCTTTGTTTAGAGATTTACTCACCAAAATTAGGTATTTGACTGGATCGATCCGAATTAATTAAGGTTAAACCTTAAAAACCGGGAGAACAACCAGAAAGAAAAACTTTAGTCTGTGTATATAAAAAATATCTGCTAGGAGATTCACCTAACAAAGGTAAATGTATAAGTCAATCTAAATTAATTAAAAAGAAACCTTGAGAATCGAGATAACAACAAAAAAGACGAAACTTTCTTCTATCACCGTACCACGACAGCTAGTTATTTGCTGTTCACTGTGTACATAGAACGCTCAGTCTCTTGCTGCATTAACTACGAATGAGATCGAAAATCAGATAATATTATTAGAATCTAAACGAGTGTTGAATCGTGGAAAATATAAATCATGTGTTTGATGCAAATTCCAATTAAAACATACACTTATCACTGTTTCCAAGATTTCATAAGCTTTAGATGGCTTTAAACAAGTTTCATAGCTAAATCTATAGATCGACTATAATTGTATAAGAACTCATTAATCGATCGAGCGATAAAATAGACTATTATTTTTCTTAAATGTTTTAAGTTCAAATTGTTATATCTGCAAAGTGTTTGCTCTGTCGATGGTTTAAAAAATCTGAATAATTGCAGGTCCTTTTAATTTTCAAGAAGGGAACCCCAAGGGGAGCCTCCCCACATTGCATCTCAATCCATACAGTTGGTCTAAGGTCAGGGCACTGCATGCCACACCCTTTAAACCAAAGTATTCGATCTTTTTTGTTAATTATGTTTTAGCATTTTTCCAGGTTTCAAATATTATTTACCTAGATTCACCTGCCGGTGCCGGCTTCTCCTACTCTCGAAATGTAAGTGCGTACACAACCGGAGACCTGCAAACCGCAGCCGATGCACATGCCTTCCTCCTCAAGGTATTCAAAATAGCAATGGTAATGTCGCTTGCAGACATTATTTGAATCCAACATGTAGAGATTAAACCTGAGAATTGATTTCCCGTGTAGTGGTTCGATCTCTATCCGGAGTTTGTTAGCAATCCGTTCTATATCGCGGGCGAGTCTTATGCAGGAATTTATGTGCCCACTCTCGGATATGAAGTGGAAAAAGGTAACCTTGTTTTTGCTGATAATGTATTATTGCCTTGAGATTCCGATTTTAGACATTTATTAGTATGATAATGACTTGCCTTCTGGTTTTAGGGATCAAAGTTGGTGCAAACCCCACAATCAATTTCAAGGTATATATTGCATTATTCGTTTCGGGTTAGTCCGTGTTGAGCAAGTTGCAGCTTAAAGAATTGAGGAAATTGTAATTGCAGGGATACATGGTGGGAAATGGGGTGACTGACCCTGTTTTTGATGGCAATGCTCTTGTTCCTTTTGCACATGGGATGGCCCTCATTTCAGATGACATTTTCCAGGTAGCTAGAAATCGGAATACACAGTGTGTCGAATATAAAGACGAGATACGGTTATATTCGAAGTGTCATCATCTGATTTATTCATATTACCAAATATTGTAGTGAACTTAACACTGAGATGAACCATACTTAACTATTGCAGGCAGCTGAAGCAGCTTGTGGGGGAGACTATTCCAACTCTTCTCAGATGTGTGTTGAAAAACTAGAAGATGTTTACACGGTTACAAATATAGACCAACTTCAATTTGTATTCCTTTGCACCAATAAGTATTACTTAATCACTTGTACTAATACATGAGATGCATTTTCAGGCAATTTCCGGCCTAAATATATACGACATCCTTGAACCGTGCTACCACGATCCTACGTCGCAACTGGGCCCTAAACGAAACACCAGCGTGCCCGATAGCTTCCAGCAACTAGGGGTTACGTCGAGACCACTTGCGGTTAGAACTCGGATGTTCGGCCGTGCTTGGCCGTTTAGGGCACCGGTTAAGGAAGGCATTGTCCCTTTATGGCCTCAACTAGCACAAAACAATAAAAACTATGTACCCTGTTTTGTAAGTTGTTTTTACTCATTCACTCCTTTGAAATTCATTGATAAGTTAGCATTTGTGATCATACATTGTTTTGCATTGACAGAACGACGAAGTTGCTACAATATGGCTAAATGATGCAACAGTTAGGAAGGCTATTCATGCCGAACCAGTAAGTTATCTGTCTCCTTAGCGTTTAAGTGTAACCAAATACTTAAATAACGATCGCGGTATTTTACTGTTTTTACTGCAGGAAAATGTAGCTGGTCCTTGGGTGTTATGTACAGGTAGAATAAACTATTATCATGATGCTGGGAGTATGATTCCGTACCATAAAACCCTAACAACCGCGGGTTATCGAGCACTTATTTTCAGGTAATTCAACGATTAACAGCTCAAGTTTTTTTTTTCTTTTGGGTAAAGTACACAAATGGTCTCTTATATATTTCAAACTCGTCATTTTTCATTAAAAAATAACGGTCGTCCAGCTCTACAGGGCGTTACTTTGTTGAGTCATATGAATGTTAAAAGTTACAATATGATCAATTGACTATTTATATGTTCCAAACTCATCATTACCGTTAAAAAATTGGTAAGTCGTTAGAGCTAAACATTAACATGTTGACTAGGATATAATAAAATCAAATCCTAGAATCGTTTGAACTATATTTTATGGATAGAGTCTCCGTTTACATTGTGTCATTGAGTCAGTAATTGAAAGCGACGACAGTGCCAATATACATTATTAAAATATGATTTTACTATATCATAGTCAACATATTAATGTCAAACTCAGACAACCGTCAATCTTTAACAGAAAATGACGAGTTTGGAACATATGAATAGTTGAGTGATCATTTTTCAACTTTTAATATTCGGAGACTCAACAAAATAATATCCTATAATCAATAAACTATTTTATAACTTTTAATAATCAAATGACTCAACAAAATAACGCTCTATAATCATATACCATTTGTGTACTTTACTCTCTTCTTTTTGCATCTATTGAATCTTAATGTTCAAACGTGATGATTCACTTGCAGTGGAGACCATGATATGTGTGTGCCTTACACGGGGAGCCAAGCCTGGACCAAGTCACTCGGATATAAGACCGTAACTCCGTGGAGATCATGGACGTCTAAGGGCCAAATTTCTGGGTAAATTCCTTTCAAACTATATATACAAATTATATCAGATGCCACTAAACTTTAAATATTGCATTGTTATTTCACTAATTTTGATTTGAATTGTTAATTTGCTTTGTTTACCAAGAAACTAAACATATTTTTACAGGTACTTGCAAAGTTATGACCATGACATTACCTTCCTAACCATTAAGGTTTGAGACATTCAATCTTTATTTCTCGAATAAAAGAATGAATTATATATTAAACACGTACTATAAATGTTAATATTCGACATCATATATGTTTGAAACTATATTATTAACAACGGTTATGTGAATTAAATGAATTTAACTTTAGATTTAATAAAATAATATGTTTGAACTCATTAAATTATTTTAGTGATTAAGGTGAGTGTTGTTCTAATTAGAAATTTTAGATTCGAACAGTTGAATCTGTAGAGTGTGTATGTGTTGTCATTAGTTAAGAAATATTGTAAATATATATTATATTATAATCACTCTAAATTATTAACAAAGAAAATAATGTGTTTGAATTTTTAAAAAATAATAAGATATGAATTGAAGGTGTTTGTTAAATGTGCAGGGTGCAGGGCATACAGTCCCAGAATACAAGCCAATGGAAGCATTAGATTTCTATAGGCGATGGTTGGATGAGAAGCCTATATGAAATTGATGGTACCATTTCTTTGTCAACCAAAAAAAAAACATTCCTCAATTTCACTTGTTATATAAGAATGAATGAGAGTCAATAATATTAATAATTACTTTATTTTTTATTAACATTAAATTTTAAGTTTAATTCTCAAATAAATTATTCTTAAGGTAAACTACACGTTTAATATTTCAACTATCACTTTTGTTCTATTTTGCTCAATCAATTATTTTTTTAAATCATACATAATATTTAGTTTTCATTTCGTTATGGTCATCTTTCGTTAAAAAATTAACAATGATGTTGACTTGTCCATAAGATAATGTCACTTCATTGTTAAATTTTTTTTTGAAAAAAATATCACACTAGTAGTTCTATTAATTTTTTAACGGTGTAACTAAAATGAAACTAAAACGTAACGTTAGATATTATTTTAAAAACATAATAATTTAGTGACCAAAATGAAATAAAAACAATAGTTGAGATACTAAACGTATAATTTACCCTTAGTTTTATAAAATATATATTTTTTGAAATACTGTTATTGACAACTCAACGGCTTACAAAGACAACTATTTGAATCTAGAACCTTTAGGAGTGTTTCGTTCGCAAAATATAATATTATATTTTAGAATAAGATTATTATAATGTAATATTATTTTAAGAATATTGTATTATCTTATTTAATTTATTTAACATGAATATAGAATTACAATATTTGGCTAGAGGAATATAAAATTATTTGGATATTTATTTATCAAATATAAAAATATAATTTTAAAAAAATATTTATCTTCAAGATGATTTTTTCACAAATCAAATATCAACTTAAAAATAACAACACTCATTCAGCTAGATAGGATAGAAATTAAGTCCCGTAATACCAGTTAACACCTCCACCAAAAGAATATTATTATATTACAACGTTTAAAAATATATATTTTCAAATAAAATAAAATTCACGAAATTTATTCAGGGACGGTGAGTTAGAGATGGCGGGAATTTGTGGTCCAAATTCGATTCCACATCTCCACCGGAGGACCACTCAATCAACGTTGAATTTACGCAGAACCGACGCCGGAGCACGGTGTTGCTCAGTTTCACCGGAAACCCAAAATAAAACCAAAACTCCGCCGCTTTTAAGATTAGCAGTGAGTGGTGTCACCGAGTTGCTCAGACTCTTTTCTCCATCCACCCAAGACAACAGGTAATTAACTTCATCTCCCCTTCTTTCTTTTCCGTTTGGTTCTCGAGAAAAATGTTGGAAATGAATAAATATAAATAAAGAAATTGCAAACACAATTAGAAAGTCAAAATGATGTGATAAATTTGTTTACTATCCTACTTTTTTGAAGAGCTGATTATCAACTGAATACTGGAGATACAGAAGGAGTTTCAGTGTCTGATGTAGCTGATGTTTTAAGAATCCTTAAAGCCGATTATGAGAATTATTACTTTGTTACAGGTAACAGCTGTAATTTTGGACCCGTTTGTTAATTCCTTAATGCCGATTATGATTTTCTCTGTGTTTTTTTCTTCTTCTTCTTTTCCTGTTTGGAATTTTCTTGATTTCTTTCTCGATATATCTTTATATTGTTTCTGTTTCTCTATAATAAAAATAAAATTATCAATCATACTATCCACCGTTTTTTAATTAAAATGATTTATTACTTGCATCCAAAATCTAAATACACTTCTTGCCTTTCTACTTCTAGAGGCAAATACTGATAGGGTAAAAGGAAGAGCCAAAGAAAGCCTTTGTTATCTTTTCTATATTTTGCAGCTAATTTGATTAATGTGTTAAAACTTCATCTATTTGAAAATGGTGTAATCGATACTTACTGTTTTCTGGGAACATATATCTGATAACAATTTGCTTTCCCTTTCTCTCCACTGGATATAGGAAATTTCACTTCTGCAATTTATGCTGAAGATTGCATCTTTGAAGATCCAACTATTAAATTCCGAGGTTAGATGAACCAGAAATATATGTCATAAAAGGGGTTCATATTGCTATTTCTAGCTAATGTTTATTAATCTACTCTCATGTGCATGTAGAAGGAGCAATTGATATTCCTAGTTAACTTATGCTACCCGTCATCTCACTCGCACGTGCATGTATGATGATTTTATAATTTAATATTTGATTTGATTCTTCTTTTGTCATAATAAATTCTTTGGACTTCCTAAACTTAAATAACATTTATGGTCTATGGTAATTCAGGTAAGGAGTTGTATTCTCGCAACCTGAAACTGCTTGTTCCTTTCTTTGACAGCCCTTCAATTGGATTGCAAAAGATTGAGAAGGTAGATCATTCTTTATGAATTGGAACTCACTTAACTGAGTGCGGATTTGCTGGATGCGAGCATAAACTTCTTCAGTGCCCTATATATATTTATGTATATAGAGAGACGTGCACACACACACATAAATTCTATAACTAAAAGATCATTTACAGTTGGTTCATTCTAAAACTAGTGTCAGAGCCAGTGGTTGAGTTACTATGTAGTTTAGCCCTGATTTCATATGAAAATATGCTATGAATGATCTAAAGGGCATAATAATTGGCTGGATAGATTGATTGTCACTCTACCCATTCGATCTTTGCTAATATTTTGCAAAGTGAAATGTCGGTTCAGGCCATCTAATATGGGTAGCCAAGAATATCACATCTCAAATAGAGAACATCATAGATTTGAATAGAGAACATTCATAGTATATCCTAGAGCCTACCTTCTTTCCTTGATATCTCATGGCTTGAATAGAGAACATCATAGGCGGTTATGCTTGGTTTCCAAAGGTACAATTTATGTTTAATACCCTAGATTTACACTTGCTAAGCCACCTGAACTATTTTCAACTTATCAACTGGATATCAAGGAACCCTAAGCACATAAATCATAAATGCATCCTTATAGGTATTCATTATTACAGTGAGAAGGATTCCACATAGTTCTCTCTTCCTTGAATGTTTGGAATGTTGTGTTAAAAATTACTCCCCAAGAAGTTTCAACAAAAAAAATGTCTCTTCAAGAAGGCACTGAGTTGTGCTTTTATTCTCTCAGCTATCTCACAACTCTTCTTAACAAAAACAAATAGATTGACATAAGAACGAATCTATATATTTGCATAATTATATTGCTTACTTAGCTCCCTCTCCCAAAGTTTTTTCTGTGACTAAATATTTGCTTTTATAAGCAGGGCGCCAACATGGAAACAAATTTTGTGCTCGCAACTTGGAGATTAAGGTACTTTACCTTCCTATTGTATCCAGGTTTGCTGCAATCCATAGTTAACATAATTTGTCTGAATCACTGAAGGCAACTGAGGCTGCCTTTTTCGTTCTTTTGGTAACCAACTGGGCTGCCTGAGAACTAGAACTTCAAGTTATTCAGTAGACATCAGTGTATTTTCACACTTCACAGTGCAACCTGAATTTTCGTAGATAGAACTATTTTTGAAGTGCAGAAACAAAGTGAAACACTTTTAACCGTATACTCTAAAACAATTTATCTCTTCTGAGGCCTTCTAAGTCTGGACTAGGTTTTTCTGATACCCCCGAAGGTATTTAAAATGATAACAAAAAGTTAAAAGTAATTCTTATCAAGAACAATATTTTTTTTCTTGAATGCTTAAGAAAATGAAAAAGTTGATGTTGATGTACAGAACTTCATTACAACCTTTTTCTAAGTTCTTTATGAATCATACCCATCTTCAAATGTATCGGACATGAGTTCGTTATGAACAATGTTTAGGGCAAGGTCACATTGCGACATTTTGCAATTTAATCTTTTCATGCAAGGAAGCGAGTAACTGTATTTTCCTAAGCCTTTCCACAAGTACTGTAGTTTTCGAAAGTAATTTTATGTGTTTCTGCATCTACTTGGATATCTGCTGAGATTATTGTCACTTTTGCAGAACCTACCTGAAGCTTCCATGGAGGCCACTTATATCAATTGATGGAAGCACTTTCTATGAATTGGATGAGAAGCTTAAAGTGAGATAAAAGCTTTATTTTTTATCAATGGGATTTCTTTTTGTATGTCTTCACTGCCTGCATTTATGGTTGATTTTAATTTCAGATTGTTAGACATGCTGAGAGTTGGGATGTCACTGCACTTGAAGCAGTTGGTCAGATATTCACCCCTAGTAGTGGAAGGGCAAATGATTGAGCATAATATATATGACCATAAGAAATCAAGTTACTATATGTAAGTATGCAGCCACATTTAAATTACAAATTGCATAATATAATCACCCATAGTATTGGAATTTTGGGGTTGACTTTGATTGTGAGGCCACTGCGAAAGTCTTAATATAAGGTTGAAGACAGAAGAAATGAGACGCGACCAAAATGTGATAAAAAGCATAGCATTTTAGGTTGAACACAACTTAAAATATGACATTCTTCGTAACATTTTTTGTTGCAATCTAAAATGTAACGAAAAATGTCACTTTTTTCGGTTGCCAATCGAAAATGTTATGAAGAATGACACATTTTAAGTTGCAATCTAAAATGTAACGAAAAAGGTCACTTTTTTCGGTTGCCAATCGAAATGGTTATGAAGAATGACACATTTTAAGTTGCAATCGAAAATGTTATGAAGAATGTCACATTTTAGGTTGTGTCCAACCTAAAATATTATGTATTTTTATCATATTTTCTGTCGCTTCATGTATGCATCGGTTTTTAGTCATGTATGCATAGGTTGTACCGCAAAATTACCCGAGGCCATGAATGTTGAGTATGACTGTGGCTTGTACTTGCATTTCCCCCCCCCAAGCGATTGTGCTTCATGCTGCCATTTTTTTGTCTGTTAGGGGGCTCTTACTTCTTCGTAACATTTTTTGTTGCAATCTAAAATGTAACGAAAAATGTCACTTTTTTCGGTTGTCAATCGAAAATGTTATGAAGAATGACACATTTTAAGTTGCAATCTAAAATGTAACGAAAAAGGTCACTTTTTTCGGTTGCCAATCGAAATGGTTATGAAGAATGACACATTTTAAGTTACAATCGAAAATGTTATGAAGAATGTCACATTTTAGGTTGTCCAACCTAAAATATTATGTATTTTTATCATATTTCGGTCGCTTCATGTATGCATCGGTTTTTTAGTCATGTATGCATAGGTTGTACCGCAAAATTACCCGAGGCCATGAATGTTGAGTATGACTGTGGCTTGTACTTGCATTTTCCCCCCAAGCGATTGTGCTTCATGCTGCCATTTTTTGTCTGTTAGGGGGCGCTGACTTCTTCGTAACATTTTTTGTTGCAATCTAAAATGTAACGAAAAATGTCACTTTTTTCGGTTTCCAATCGAAAATGTTATGAAGAATGACACATTTTAAGTTGCAATCTAAAATGTAACGAAAAAGGTCACTTTTTTCGGTTGCCAATCGAAATGGTTATGAAGAATGACACATTTTAAATTGCAATCGAAAATGTTATGAAAAATGTCATATTTTAGGTTATGTCCAACCTAAAATATTATGTATTTTTATCATATTTTCGGTCGCTTCATGTATGCATCGGTTTTTAGTCATGTATGCATAGGTTGTACCGCAAAATTACCCGAGGCAATGAATGTTGAGTATGACTGTGGCTTGTACTTGCATTTTCCCCCCAAGTGATTGTGCTTCATGCTGCCATCTTTTTGTCTGTTAGGGGGCGCTGACTTCTTGCAGTAATGTAGGTGTTATTTCCAGGTGCAGCTTCACTCAATATTAATAAAATGAAGCTTGGCCTAGCGAAAGCAATATCTTCTATATATGATATTAATTTCATATTGGCAAGTAAACGGCTATTAAACAATATCATCTATATATGGAGAAATTATTTTATGAATAAAGTTTATAAACTAATTTCTCCTATATATGGTATTTCTTTCATATGGGCAATTTTATGTTACTTCAAAGCAAATAGTTAAACCGCTCTTCTTCCAAAATTCATCTTCTTCAAGGTAACATCTCTAGATGAAGGTGAACAAAATTCGACTCGAAAAATTGTTCTTTTTAATTTAACTCGATTTGAAAATACTAAACTTGAAAGACTTCGAGTTGTAATTTTATAAATTCGACTCAACTAAAAAAATCAAATTCAAATCGAGTTATAAAATAGAATTTAAATAACCCAAAATTTTTAATAATTAGTGGGTTGATTTTCAAGTTTGAGTTTATTCCTTTGACTTTGCATGATATATATATATATATATATATCACATATGAAAAAGTATGAAGAAATATATATGTATTGTATATGGTTGTAGAAAAACATTTAAATTGGAAATTGTATCATCGTATTACAAATATTTACAATTAGATTTAAATAAAAAAAAGAACAACAACATTCGAATCGACTCGAAAAAAAATTCAAATCAAGTTTAAGTTATAAAATAGGACTCGTCAATTCGAATAATTTGAAATTTTTCTTAGGGTTTGATTTAACATCGTCATGATCTTTATTTGTTATTATGATGACTTTTCCTATTTTGCACCCTCAAATTGGATTTGTATACGTGAGTTGCATTCGTTGATAGTTTTCATACATCACTCGATTCTGATTTACGGTTTGTCGGTGATTTTTCAGTAGCTTGATCTCCTTTTATAGTCCGTTTGTAAATACAATCAGATTTGTACATATCTATCTTTTATTCAAGCTTATTTGGTTAGGTATTTTAACATTTTCCTTATATAATCATTGTGTGATCTTAAGTGGATAATTTCTTATGTAACGATTATAAAAAAGTAACCCTTATTATGTGTTTAGTTTACAGTTATAATTATAAACCTTCATTATGATTTGAATATTTTTCTAATTTTAATAAAATTAACGAGTTTTCTCTTGTAAAAAAAATTATATTTAATAACACAGTATAATAATTACATTAATAAACATTGTATCAAACTAATTATTAGGGTATTGTAATTTTGGTAACCTAACTGAAAGATCTTTCAATTTCATCACTGGCATCGTGAGTTTTAATTGTGCCACCACCATTAGTCACTCCATTAACCCTTAACGTAGCTTTTATTTTTTTTCAATTCACATAATAAAACATTTAATCTTAACGTGTCTGTCAATTTGATCATTCTTTTAAAAGGTTTAACAAATTTGATCTCAACATTAGCATATTCTATTAATATTTTAAAATATTAAGATCCAAAAAAAATTATGAAATTCTACAAATTAAAAAACATGTAAAGCTTTTAAATTTGAGAAAATAAAAAAAAATTATAAAATTAATAATACAGAAAAAATTCTCTAGAATACTCCATAGTCATCGCCATTAGGGATGGCCCCAGAGAGTTATCGCCATCAAAGAAGGCCGACAAAGGACATACCTTAAAATTTTTAAATTCTGATATATTTTAAATATTTTCTTTGTATCTTCTATTTGAAAATCTACTTTCATCCTTTAAAATTTTATAAATTCATCCTTAACATAAAATTATGAGTCCGTATCTGATTATCGTTGCCTACGATTTGGACAGTTATTGATGCAAAATCCATCGAAGTTAATTACGGTACGGAGGCAGCTTCCAGGATGACGCCATTATCAATTGTTTCATTTGCAGGGATCTTAGTAGGAAATGGATAAACATCTTTTGTTGCAGAGACCAAAATTCACTTGAAGTTCAAGCCAATTGCCAAGGATACTCCCATTATGCTTCAGATGACATGACATGGTGTATATAAAATGTTACAACATAGAAATCAAACATGGTTCCATAATATACTGGCACAAATTATTCTGGATCAATTTAATTTCTTTTTTATGTGCATCATAAAGCTATGCAGGTGTTTTCACTTGCCGCAGATGACTCCCCAAGAAATTCTGACCTTAACTGCATCAACAACCTGCCTAGATAATTCAGGCCTTCACCTTCCCGACCACCGCCCCAGAAAAGATCATGAGGCGATGCTTCAACTAGAACCGACCCGGCGGTTGATAGTAACATGGAATTCAAGTGAGGATATATCGAGAACTTGCATTTCAGTGCTCTGTACATAACATCAATCTTCACACTTTCCCAATCAGATCTTACCTGCATTGTATTGCATATCAGGGTTTCACCCATGTTTTATGTGAGAAAGACATATATAGCAACTCAAAGGCTATGTCACTTGGACTTGGGTGAATCAAAAATGAGATTTTCTAACACTAGTATGGTCAGAATGTTCTAAATTTTTCATTTTGGAGGATCTTTAAAGGTCATATCCCCATGTTTATGTGTCAGACACGTGTCTTAAAGAAACGTCCAAAATTTTGTTTTAAAGAAACGTCATATACTTCTTCTGCTGCAAGAAACAAAATTGGAGAAGGTTCAGAGACAATTTCTCAGGAGGAGTGGTTTGAATACTCTTCAAGGGTTTGCAGAATCTCCAGCAGTGGGTTCTTCTGGAGGGTTATTGAGTTGTTAGGATGAGTCCACTTTTAAAGTGGATAATCTTATTATAAACAGAAGGTTTATTGCAGTTTTCGGGAAATTTCGAACTTCAAAATTTAGGTGTAGTTTTATTAATGTATATGGGCCTAGTGTTGAAGAAGAAAAAGCTAGCTTCTTTGAAGAGTTAGCTGTTTTTATGTGGTCAGAATATTCCTTTATGTGTGGGAGGTGATTTTAATGTGCATCTTTCAGAAGAAGAAAAGGTGGGGAGAGCTCCAAACAGAAGTTCTATAAGGATTTTCAGTCACTTTCTTCAACATACAGGTTTAATCAATTTACCTTTAGATGGGGGCAGATTCACTTGGTGTAACAACCAGGATTTTCCCACCTTTGTTAGACTGGACAGGTTCCTAGTGGATGTTCACTTCCTAGAAGCATTTCCTGATGTTACGCAATATTTGTTACCAAGGTCAGTGTCGGATCACAATGCCATTTTTCTTGAGAATGAGGGGGTTAGTTGGGGTAAGAAACCTTTCAAACTATTTAATTATTTGATGGAGGAGGAAGGCTTTCAGAATTTAGTTGATTCTACTGTTAAAGAATGTAAGACTGAACAGAGGAGAGCAGGAATCCTATCTATCCTGAAAACTACTAAACTGGCGATAAAAAATTGGGCGGGAAAGAGAGACCAATTTCCTTCCGTACAGATTGCATAATTAGAAAAAAAGATTCAATTGGAAGAGGAAAAGTTACAGCAGCTGCAAGTTTCAAATGGTTGTGACAGGGGAGCAGAATTGATTTCTATGAGGTCAGAATTATGGAGGCTGTACAAGATTGAAGAACAGATATGGTTTCAAAAATCGAGATCAAGATAGGTGGATGAAGGGGACCGCAATACAAGATTTTTTCACACTTGTTCTTCAATTAGGAGGAAAAGGAATTTCATGAGTGCTTTGAATGTCAATGGAGAGATCACTCAAGATCCATCTGTTATCAAAGATAGTGTCAAGGATCATTTTTTTGGAATTTATTACTCAAGTTCTACCTTGGAAGTGGAAGATATGAAGCTGAATTTTTCCAAAATTTCAGTGGAGCAAAGTGATATTCTGGAAAAAGAATTTACGGAGGAAGAAATTTGGGAGACTCTACAATCGTGTGATAGCAACAAAGCTCCCGGGCCAGATGGTTTTAATATGGGCTTTTTCAAGAGATTTTGGTCTGTTCTTAAGGTCGATATTCTGAAATTCTTTCATAACTTTTATTTGGGGAAAGATTGGGAACATGGAGTAAATCATACTTTCATTACTCTTATTCCCAAGGTGGCTAATATTAGTGGATTAGATGATTATAGACCTATAAGCCTTGTAGGAGGATTGTACAAGATCCTTTCTAAATGTTTATCGAGGAGATTAAGGAATTGCATTTCTGATTTAATAAGTCCTACGCAGTTTGCTTTCATTCCAGGTCGTCAAATTCTGGATTGTTCCCTAATAGCTAATGAGGGGGTTGATTTTTGGAGGAAAAAGGGACTTAAAGGATGTGCGTTTAAAGTTGATTTTAGGAAGGCTTATGATACTGTGGACTGGTCTATTTTGTTTAAGATTATGGAGAAAATGGGATTTGGCTTCAAATGGAGGAGTTGGATAAAACAATGTGTAACAACGGCTTCAATTTCAGTTTTGATAAATGGGGTCCCTTCTCAGGAATTTCCTATGGCAAGGGGTCTCCGTCAGGGCTGTTCTTTATCTCCTTTGCTTTTTAACTTAGTTGGGGAGCTCCTAAATTTACTGATTCTAAAGGCAGTCTCTGAAGGTCTGTTTTGTGGACTGCAGATTGGGAGGAATGAGTCTGTTTTCAATTTATCTCATCTGCAATTTGCAAATGACTTAATCATTTTCTGTGGGGCTTCGAAAATGGAGATTTCAAATGTTAAAAGGGTCTTAAGAGTGTTTGAAGTTATGTCTGGTCTGCAATTGAATCTCAAGAAAAGCAAGTTATTTGGAGTAAATATGGCTACAGATGAGGTTGAGGAGTGGGCGACGGCAATTGATTGTGCAGTGGGGAAATTTCCTTCTGACTATCTAGGTCTACCTCTTGGTGCAACACGGAATTCAACCTCTCTTTGGGATCCGGTTGTATTAAATTTTAACAACAAACTAGCAGGTTGGAAAGCTGCCACTCTTTCTTTGGCAGGGAGGTTAGTCTTGAGATCGATTCTCTGTTCTCTTCCTACTTACTATTTGTCTCTATTCAAAACTCCCTCGTCCGTAAATTCCAAACTCAACTCAATCATGTCTAAGTTCTTATGGGGAGGTGGAATGGAGAAAAATAAGATTCATTGGGTTAGTTGGCATAACGTGTGTAAATCTAAGGAGGCTGGTGGTTTAGGAGTGCTTAATATTAGTAACATGAACAGAGCGTTACTAGGGAAGTGGTCTTGGAGATTTGCTAATGATAAGGATGCAGTTTGGAGGAGGCTGATATGTTCTAAATACAATATTGATCCTTTTTCATTATTGTTCAATAGCAAAATCCCAGCTCAAGCTTCTTGAATTTGGAGTTCGGTGGTGAATGCTTATTTTAAATAAGACTCGTTTGGCTCTAATTTTCGCAGCATGTGCAGAGTTCAAGTTGGGAATGGTCAATTTATTCGGTTTTGGCAGGACAAATGGGCAATGGACTGTCCTCTTAAGGTCTCTTTTCCGAGGTTGTTTGCAATTTTTTCAAACCAGAGTGGAAAACTGATTGAATTTGGCGAGTTCAGTTCTTTGGGATGGATTTGGAATATTCAGTTGAGGAGAAGTTTGGCAGACTGGGAATTTGAACAGTGGGCTAACTTGATGTCTATCATTTCTAATTTCTGTCTGTTTAAAGAGGCAATCGATGGTCTGACATGGAAAGGAAACGGAACGGGTGTTTATTCTGTAAACTCATGTATGAAGACTTGTTCCTTGGCTCAAAAGGAGAATTCTTTTTGGAAGAATATTGTGTGGAAAGGTTTGGTGCCACCAAGAGTTGAGTTATTTATGTGGCAGGTAGTTCTTCAAAAACTGCCAGTGAGGTCTGAACTGGTTAAGAGAGGGGTTACGGGAATTGTAGAACTTTCTTGTCCTTTATGTAATTTGGTGGATGAATCTTCTTCTCATTTATTTTTCTCTTGTTCTGTTGTGTGGTCACTTTGGAACAAATTTGTGCAGTATTGGAGTCTTAATGTGGTTCTTCAAGAGAATGCGCAGAAGTTCCTCCAAGCTTGGGAAGATCTAAATCCTAGGTCTGCCATTTGGAAGTTTATTCCTGCCGTTGTCATTTGGACTGTTTGGAAAGCTATAAATGATATTGTATTCGATAAAGGGAAGATTGACCAACCTAACCTGTTTTTCTTAGCAAGAGTACGACTTGCATCTTGGTTTTTAGCTAAGTTTCCAGATTCTGTTATTTCTATGGATTCTCTAATCGGTGACCCTTCCCTAGGGGATTCATGCTTCCCACTCAACAAATCGATTGTTTCTACAATTCCTTGGTCCCCCCTCCTAAGGGCTTTGTAAAATTGAATGTGGATGCAGCTACAAGTTGTGATTGGAAGAGCAGTGGAGTTGCGGGTATTCTAAGAGATGAGGAAGGTCTTCTTGTAGGATCTTTTAAGGAGGCTACTGGTTCGGGTCCACCTATTTTGATGGAGTTAAAGGCTATTCAGAAGGGCTTACTTTTCTTTAATTCAGTGAGAGGAGATGTTAATGGTCGGTTGATATTAGAATCAGACTGTAAATTGGCAGTTGATTGGATTAGGAATGGAACTTTGTGTCCTCATTTTTTTGTCTTCATTGTCAGGGATATAGCAGTTAAGCTTAAAGATGTTGAGGGTGTTATTAGATGGGTCGCTAGGACAGCCAATATAGAGGTTGATGGGTTGGCTAAATCTGCCATTGGATAATTTCAGTGTGTTTTAGGGGTATTTTATTTTGGGTTTTTAGGAGTTTTTGTAAGGGACTTATCTTCATGTTGTAATCTTATGTATTTCATTAATGAAGTATAAGGCACTCTTTTCCTCCTTCCTCTGATGAAGGAACTCCTGAGTTCCTTAATCAAGAAGGGGGTTTTTAATGAGGCCTTCAATTCCTATAAAAAAAACGAAGTCACAGTAACATAGTTCACAGGTGTTAAGAGTTGGACATACTTGCAACCTTAACCCTGCTAGCCATTCCCATTGCTCAAAGGGTAGGGCAGAAGATGAATCCTAGACTTTCTGAAAGTGTTATATGTAGAATGACATTTAATTTTCAGAAATTTGCAGCATCCAAAATAACAGCATATTGTTCTATGCCAAGACAACCAATTTCTAGGCCTCTTGATGGTTGTTAATAGGTTAAATACCAGAAACTCAACATGTCCATAAACAATGGATGCTATATGAACAGCAGATTTGAGCATCCCTGTATAGACCAATTCAGAATTACCCGTGTAATATTTAATTAGGTTAGGCATAAAAATGAAACTAGAAACTATAGGCTTCCATGTAATATTATGAATGAGTTTTAAGCTATACTAGCAACATGAAGACTAGAAGAATGTTCAGATTTTCAGTTAAGCATACCAGATGAGGCTGCTGCCTCTGCATTAACCTTCCCATTCGAGCAGCTTCTTCTGGACTTTTGCTGATTTTATCTTTTCTATGCAATCCTGTTCTAGAGGATTGCTGACTCCAATAAACTTGTTTGCCTAAAAGTAGAAGAGAGCTTGAATGAATGTAAACGTGGTTAGGAGTAATGGAGCTTCCAAATATTGGGAAATACCTGGTAATAATGTTCTACGCTCAACCAAGTGGCATAATCGCCATCTTCATCAGGCATTTGAATAGGATGAGGAGAAAAGTTTGAGAAAGCACCATAAGGATCCCATGTTTTATAGAAGAATACGATGCTCGACTCAAAACGAGTAACAGTTGGGTCAATAGCAAAGGTTTCATCTTCTGAAGGAATAGTAGGTGTTAAATCTGGTATAGGCTGAAGAAATCCACTGATGAGCATATCAGGTCCAATCTGTAATAAAAAGCTAGAAGTAAAAAATGCAACACAAAGATGAATATAAGGTCAAAAAGAGGTCTTGTACAGAAGAAAAGCCAAATGGGGCATGCTGAGGAAACTTCATAATAACAAGCAAGTTTGTTCAAATATTTGAACTTTGAAATGTACTTGTGCAACTTCCTAAAGACAACAAACAAACAGGGAACAACATAATCAGACTAAAATTTCTGACATGCCCCCACCTCGTCGCACCACACAATGCTCCAATGGGAAACAACACCAATCTTTTATCAAACTTACATCACATTTCCTTTTTGTTGCTGTTGTTTTTATCATTGTTTTGCTGCTGTTGATGTTGCAGTTATAAAGTCACTACTCAATTCATACATTTACCATTAATAGTGAACAAAAGGTTCAAGATACCAACCTGCTCAAAGAAAACATCAATCAAATCCAGTGCTTGAGACATCTCAACCATTCCAAGTTCACCCACAGGAGAAGGAGCATTCTTCCCACCAATAATTTTAGGGGCAACAAATGCAAAAACCTGCAATCAGAAGGGCAAATGATAAATGAATAAGTGACTGAGTACCAGAAGCAATATTTGGAACTATATCTCTATGCCCTAAGAGGTTGCAGAATCCTTGATTCATAGCACGCAAAAATTGCAATAGAAAGTTTAAACAGTTGAGTAGCAGCTTATAACAGCAGTTGACACATAGCTGTCTTCCTTGAAAAAGTCAGCAGGTTTCTAGGTAGAGACGTCGGACTGAACTAGTAAACTACTATTACCAGTAATGACATATTCGCCCATTTTTAAGAGAAAAACATATAAATCATAATATGGATACGGATCATATCACAAGATCCAGAGAAAGACTTGATGTTCTATTGAAAGAGAAGTATTGAGACTACACAATATGTCAAAGGATTAATTCTATCCACTAGAACAGCCCCACTTTAAGTTAAAAAATAATTAAAAACAAATGAGAAGACTGCAATAACCTTGTGCAATACACCCGATGAAATAGCAGATGCAGCCAAAGTTCCTCCACACTCCCATAAAATGGAAAGGTACCCTCGGTCGTGAAAATATTCCATTACATCCCTGGGATTTAAGATGTCAAACTCCACTACCTCAACTCCTTTAGATGCAAGAAATTTCTGGAAACTCCTCCTGGCTCCCCTTTGTGTTACAACTACAGTAGATACATCAGATAGGTCCCAAAGATTTGCCTCCTCAGGAAGATCAAGCGTTTGAGACAGTACAATTCGAATTGGCATATGCCCACCTCCATGTCTTGCAGTCAGCCTTGGGTCTACATTAAAACAAAAAAATTGGTAGGTAATACAAAAACATTCTAAGCTTAGTCCACCACCTTATCACACAAAGGGGAAGAAGTGGGTGTTCATGATGCTTACTGTCCCTACGCACAGTATTCCCTCCAACTATAACAGCATCACTTCTACCCCGCAATTCAAAAACTCGATTCCTAGACAACTTGCTACTTATCCACGTTGCATGTCCGCTACTTGCAGCTATTTTTCCTATTCCATCCAAGGAAGATTGTCAGGAGTGACCCATATATTTAAAAGCTAAGTCAAAAAGATAATATTTTAACAACCTTTAAGTAAAGCTATTAAAATTTAAAATTACTTAAATGCATAATACTCACCATCAAGGGTCATTGCATACTTAAGAACGGAAAATGGAACACGAGAAGCAGCTCTATAGATCAAAGGTAAGTTGACAAGGAGACATGCCTTTCGAGCTTCCTACAATACAAAGTTTCAGATATATCAAGTATAATGGAAAGCATTTTTCATTTGATAGGCAGCATTACAATACAAAGAACAATCATGATACTGATAGAACATCAAAAAAATTAGATGATGAACTTGATACAGCTGCAGCATCCACTAAAGATTGTAATCTTCTGGATACTTGCTATCCCTGACCAGAAATACTTTGCTATCTAGTTCGAATCATTCCCAACATTAAACGTCCTATTCCATTCTTCTCTGGAAACCATGATTTCAGAATACACACTCTTAATCAACTTTTCAACTTGAAACCTTTCAAAGAGAACAAAATATTACATTCTTCAAACAGTTATACAGTACGGTGTTCTCCTTTTCCTCTGACAAGGCAGGTGCATGAAGATAAACTATCACAGTGATTAAGGTTGTACATAGTCCAAGAAGAAACTCTACAAATAAATAACAGCACTTCTGATCCAGCAATATCAGCTGTAAGCAGAGCTGTAAAAATCGAAGAGCTACAGATATGCATAATAAGCTTTTCAATACGAGAAACACATACAGTTGTATGTTGCAGATTTAAGTCAAATTATTGTTACAAGGTCGTATCTCAAACGAAGGAAACAGGTTAAAATAGGCAGAGAAAACAAGATAGAAGTGTGAACATTACTATTGTAATAACTTGATATCAAAACTCTTCCCAGCAAGATCGAGGCAAAAGAACAAAAAACATGCCCCACATGCAATTAAGTTATACCTCCACAAGTTTACTTTGCATATCCTCTCCTAGAACATCAACCTGCAAACCTTGACTCCTTAATGCACGTATGGCATTTCCTCTAAGATGCTGAAGAGGATGTCTCATTCCAATAACAGCCCTAGTGATCCCTGCCTAATTTACAGAATATCAATGATCTGGGTGCTGACAGAACAATATGAAAATAAAAGAAATTATATCTGCCAAGTGAAGTTACAACACAGGAAAGTAACTGCTAGAAACTGCTCGTGGAATTAAGAAACAAAATATAAGTAACCAAGATAAATTAAAAACAAAACAGGATTAAAAATCCAAGATTTAAAAGGAACTTTAACTTAAGTCTCAAAAATCAAAAAGGTCATTGTAGACAGAACCACTAATTCTACTCCTAATTTCATCAGTCAATTGTGGCTTCAGAAACAAACATAAACTTGTCCACCTTGCTGTAAAGTACATTCTCTGTGTTCGTTTTTTGGCATAAAATGTAGCTCTGAAGCATTCAACTCCACTTCCTTATTAACTCTAGAGGAGTTCGTGGTGCACCCGAAAACCTCTAAATGAAATACCAAACCAGATTACGCAATTGTAAACAGACCCATCAAGCATTTGGCACATACTCAACTTACCTAGTACCGTAAATATCCGTAATTGTTAGGCTAAAGAAACATGCAAAAGTATTGGTATAAAACTAATTAAACAGATTCTTTCAATGCAGAAAACGTGTGCAATCATACACTAGTTTAAGGATACACAAATTTTGGTATGTTAATCATTGCTATGTGGGTAGCTATTGCAATTTTTCCCTGTGAGATGCTACACCCTCTTCATCCCCAAGATATGGAAGAAAACAAAGAAGGAAATTAAAACCTGAACCAGAGCAGAAACAGCGGTGTGGTCCCCATGGCAATCTCCGGGCTCCATGTTAACATAAGCCGTAGCGCCTCTAGACCGTTCGCCGGCGGCCTCAACAGCGAGTACCTCCGCCGGTTTTGTACCTTGGGCATACAGGTAGCCTTCCCCGGCCACGTCTCCTGATTGTGTGGCGATAACACATCCGAAATTGGGGTGCGGGGAAGTATAGCCCGCCGACTTGTCGGATATCTGAGCGGCGCGTCGGATGTAGGACAAATCTTGGAGGTGAGAATGGTTGTTGACGTTGGTGGGTTTGCACATAATTGGAGATGAGTAAGCTGCAACCGCAAATGAGAGCGCCATTTCAGCTTTGTACTGATCTTCAAAGTTCAAACTATCTGGATTCTGTATTTGTGAAGATAGCAGATTCTGGAAATCCAAAGTATTTGGTATGTTTGCTATTTCCACATTCACATTCGACCCGACTATGCCAAACCCATCTACTAAAATTTTCTAATATTTATTTCATCATCATCTCGGTTAATTTGGTGACGTGACAACGTTAACAAATTAATATTTAATTTTACCCTTAAACTACATTAAAATATCAAATAGATCTCTTAATAATGATTTTACATCTCATTTATATCAAAAGCTTTTTAATTTATATTTTTCAAACATCTCACCATCTTCAATATATTTAAACAATTTCTTTACAAAATGATAATTGTTATAAATCGATAATATTAATAACTAATTTGATACTTTTAAAACTTTAATGAATAAATAAAAAATTACTTAAATATTAATGATCATTGTTGTAATTTACTCATTACTTATTTAAGTGATTGCGGATACTTTTTAATAATTAGGGGTGTAAACGAGCCGAGTCGAGTTCGAGTATTACTGAGCTCGACTCGAACTCGAAAACTATAAATATAAGCTCAACTTGACGCGAAAACTCACAAGCCTAAAATTTTCAAGTTCGACTCGAACTCGAAAGATAATATTGAAACTCGACTCGAACTCAAAAGATAATATTGAAACTCGACTCGAACTCAAAAAGGCTCGAACTCAAAAAAAATCAAGAGCTCGACTGAAGCTCGAAACTCGAACTCGATTGAAGCTCGATTTTGAGCTCGATTCAAGCTCGATTTTGAGCTCGACGGGTTTTATTTTCTTTTGTTGAAACCCATCTACTTTTATACACTCACTTTACCCCCTTATTTCCAAGAACCAACGATGTGAGATATCAAACCAACTCAAGTTCAACGCTAAGTTTGACAATCTCAACAATTTGCCTTATCTGATCTAACATTGGTATATAAAAACAGAAAAAGATCCTATTAGCTTATGCAATAGCCTTCAATGGCTTCCATCATTATACCAATATTCATCTTCTTTTTATTCTCTTCAACTTTCTCTCTCAACGTTTCTTCAACAAATCTCTAAACCCAAATCTCACTTCCATACGAAGCTTCTATAAATCAACTCCATACCCAGGTTCTTGTTTCGATTCACTGAAGCTTTCCATTTCACTAAACATCAGTCTCAACATGCTTTTCTACCTCCTTCAAACCCTCAACACTGCACTATCCGAGGCTACGAAGCTAACAAGTTTATTCTCCAATGGCGAAAATGGAAACGTGATCGTCGAGAAACAAAGAGGAGCATTGCAAGATTGCATGGAACTCCATGAATCAACACTATCTTTGTTGAAAAAAACAGTGTCGAGAATCGAAGATGAACACAAGCAAACCTAGTCTATGTTGCTCTAGTGTCTGAAACATTTATTCGAGGATATGACCTCCAAATACATGGAACACCCAAGTAAAATATATACCCGTATTCAACATTTATACTCCAACCCAAGTAACGTAGACTACAGTAACAAAGGAACACAAGCAAGCCATTCAAGCCTCTAATAGTTTGCATTCATCTTAGAAGATAAATATCAAACTGAGCAGTGTAAAAAATTACAACAGAAAGAAGTGAAACTAGAAAGGAAATGAACTCAACTTGCTTTCCGTTCCCTGCAGGAAGTCCATAATCAGCAAGCAGGTACAAGAGGAAAATTTCATTCCAGACATCAAGTAAGCTAGGAAGACACCAATGGCTACAATCAGGTACCAACGGATTGTCATTCCACCCACCCACATGTGCATCTCTCCGGAAGGCTGACATTGAAGTTACATGCATAATGGTTATGGGGACAGTCATATTCTTTACCACATCAAATACAGTCTCTGAGAAAATGCTTTGATCCCTTCCTTCGGTTTCTGACAATGGATTTTGGGTCACATTGCAAAACCTGCGGGATTTTTCACTGATGCATAAACCAAAAAATAGTAATGATTTGTAAATTGACAAACATAGTTCATTTGGAAATTAACCAAATAAGCGAATATTGTAATAGATAATATGTAGATAAATGGTATTAGATTATTGACCGCGCAAGGAACCCATGAAATAGACCCAACTCCAAAGCCTTTTTATTAGAAGATTGAAGAATGAAAAAAATATTTGGGAAATTGTGAAGCAGATATCAAGTTGTGAAGCAGTTCAAATTGTACATAGAAATCAATTCAGGATTGTTTGTTGAAAAAGAGAAAAAGCTGCAATATATGTGTGTGTATGCCACTGATTAAAAGGATGGCAATCCAAAATAAGGACAAAAAACTTATTTAATTTAGCAACCATTTGATGTGTTTTCTGAAAGAGCATTATGGTGCATCAGAGCATTCCGCTCAGTCATAGGTGCAAGTGTCATAGTATTATTGGTTACCTCCAGTGCGATGACTCAAATGTTCGGAAGACGACAAGTGTTATGTTGGCGTCAATCGTGTTCTTAACCCATGACGCCCAAGTACTTAATGTTGTTTTATAGGCAGAAGGAATTGACATTCCAAGCTTTACTGAGTTCCCAACCTGGAAGTAGCAACCACTGCCAAAGAAGACATTTAGGAAATTTTCTTGCATGTGTATGTAAAAGCATATGGGAAATGTTTTTTCAGGTAGTCATGGTAAGTTCATTGGATACTGAATGGTACAAATAAATAATACATTTCAAGTATATTTTTTAGGGTTTATGGTTTAGGATTTAAGGTTAGGGTTTAGGATTATGGTTTAGGTTTTAGGGCCTAAGGTTAATTACAAATACATTAATTAATCGACTTGGTACCGATTTATGAGGTAAGTACAATATAGTATATTGATATTAAATGCATTACAATATGGTTTAGTTGTATTATAGAATTTTTAATATATTTTTAAAATTTTATAATTATCAATAATGTATTTTTAATATATTTTTAATAATGTAATTTTAAAAATCTAAAATTATAATATAACATTTTTTCGAGCTACTCACAAGCTTTTCGAGTCGAATATCGAGTAGCGCGTTTCGGCTCGTTAAGAACTCGAGTCGACCTCGAGCTTGAGTCAAGTCCATTCGATCCGAGTATTTATCGAGTCTTGATCGAGTCGATCTCGAGTAGCTCACGATCTGTCTCATCTCATTTACAGTCCTACGTTTTATAATATCTCGAAATCTTTTTGAAGTATGATAATTTTAGTTAAAGTCGTCAGAGAGGTATAACAATTTTTTTTACAATTAAAGTTAAAGTGTAAAGATTAAAATAATTTTTTTTGTTTCCCTTTCGGTTTTCAATGTTTCGCTTTGACTAAATTAAAATATTTTTAAAAAAAATCAATTCTTTTAGTGAAAATAGAGAATTTTAAGGGATTAGATTTTAGTATTTCAAAAATAGTAAAAATGAATAAATTTGGGACTAGATCAAATTGCATGAAAATTAAAATACATATACTAAAATAAAAATTTCAGAAATTATCCCTTTAAGAGAAAACTGGGATTTTAAATAAGGAAATTAAAAAAATATTGTTGTTTAGATTATAATTACATTGTAAAATTTTAAAAGGATACTAAAATTATAGGGAGCCAAAATGAAAATTTTTAGAAAGTTAGAAAGGAAAATTATGTGTTTAATTTAGTATAAAATATAACGTATTATTGTCGATATTATCAGGATCGATCCTAATGCCCGGAATTTTGAGTCAATGGATATGAGTTGACCCAAGAAGTTTATGGACCAGTGTAATTAGTTAATTAGAGTTGTTAGGTCAAATTTGGACCAATTTGATAGGAGTCCAAATAGCTTTAAAATGGAATTTTTGAATTGAGGGCAAATGAGTAAGGACCAATATTTGAATTAGACCTTGAGAGTTTGAAAGGTTGAAATCCATTAAATGGGCAAGATTATAGGAAAAAGCTAATTTCCCTTTTCTTTCTCTTTTTTCTCTGATTTCATTGTCTTCTTCCTTACCTCCTTGCTAGAGTCATCCAAGAAGCCAGTTTGTAACACCCCAACCCGTACCCGACTTGAATACGGGTCCGAGATGTCACATTGACATTTTCAAAACCTTTACTCTTGTAAAAGTACTGAACATTTGAATTTATATTAAGAAAATACAGTCAAATATTATTCAATTGTGTGTTGTATAAAAATTTGAGATAAAAACGTTTTTATGAACGGTGAAATACGATATGAACAGTGATACAGTAACCTGTTACCGTGATTTTTCGTAAATTGTACATAACACTCGTAAAAATTTAACAGTTCATTTCTTTGCATTTGTACTTATATATATATGTTTAAAAGATTACAAAACTCGATCAGAGCATAATACCTAATTGACCTACTTTAATTACATGCCAACCTATTTATCATAATAATACATACTGTGTAATTTACTTCTGATCTGGTCTTTGGGCAGAGATATGTTGTTACTTTGAACTTAGCTTTGATCCTTCTGCTTCTCAGTACCTACGTGTAAATCACTTACACGCTAAGTCATAGACTTAGTGAAGCAAAAACATAATAACAATAATGCATTTCTCATAAATATAAACATTCAATCTATGAATTCAATCGAGTCGCATATAATTCAGTATACATGATAACCTGAGATAATATAAATACTTTTAGTACCTCTTTATCGTATAACTACATATATCGAACATTTCTCTACATACCATGGAACACATATACTACTTCACAACAAAACATACCTAGTCCATTTACTCTCTGTAAAGACCATGTATTAGCCCATGTATACTTTTGAGAACTCAAGGTATGTGAGTACATTGAGGTTGTGCACCACTATGCTATCACAACAGCTCGATCAATGTCCCGAAGGACCAGTCCATAGATTCCGAAGAACCTAGGTAATCAGTCCATATGTCCCGAAGGACATAGGTAAACAGTCCATATGTCCCGAAGAACATAGGTAAACAGTCCATATGTCCCGAAGAACATAGGTAAACAGTCCATATGTCCCGAAGAACATAGGTAAACAGTCCATATGTCCCGAAGAACATAGGTAACCCTCGACCCTTGGCATGCCAACTATACCCCTAGCTCTCATATCACATAACATGGGCATTATCATTTAT